AAGTCAAATGGCATTTTGGAAAAAAATAAAGAAAAAATACCTTCACTGGGTAATTCCTACCTAAGCATGGCTTTTGTCTGGATGTGTGAGTTTGTCCATTTTTGGTTTAAGAGCAAATGCTCTTACACTTTGTGTTGCAGTTTTAATTAAAAATACATATGTTTAAGACTTCTATAAAACAACCAGACGTTTTCCTTACAAATAAAGCATTGAATTCAAAATGATTCAAAAAACTTTTTAAAGAGGTGTTCACAATAAAGTAGAATCTCTGTTAAGATCCCGTGGAACAAAGGTGATTACAATGGAGTCTCCGATTTCATAGGCTTCTTTAGAATCTTGGAATCCCAGAAGATCCTACAAAGATTTCTTTGAGTCTGTCTTTGTGATTTAATACAAGATATTGAAATCTTGCCTGTTCACTTTTGGAAGCTTCATTTTCTATGTATCATTTAAGGGCTGTATGGAAACGTATTAACATTAATAATAACAAAACAATGGCAAAAGTTATAGAACTTAAAATTCTGTTTTAGTCTGTTGTGTTGCTGCTATCAGAAATACCTGAATAGAGGTTTATTTAGCTCATGACTTTAGAAGCCCAAGGTCAAGAAGGTGAAAGTCCCAAGGTGACACAGGGCATCACACGGTGAGACAGCAAGACTGTGTCTGTGTCCACGGCTCTTCTCCAGGTGAACCCACCAGAAATTTAATCACGAAGGCTCTACCTACCTGACCTCAGCCATAATCACTTCCCGAAGGTTCCCCTTCTTAATCTACAACTGGATTACATTTTTACCTCTTATCCCAATCATAACTAAATTTCATCATATGAATCTTGAGGGGACACCTTGAAACTATACCAAACACATCGATTATCTCAACTTATCAGGAATCACATCTCAGGTGCCATATGTTCCCTCATGTTACGGGAGAGGAAACTGAGGTACAGATTATTTGAATAACAAATAGTGGAGCAGGAACTTGATCCAAGAATCCTGGTATAGCCCCTCATTCAGTTTCTCGGTGACATTGGCGGTCCTCGTGGTTAAAAGGACCATTTTTGGGATTTAATCATAATTTATTCAAGTTCAGAACTGTCCCTTGGTATTTGGGTCACTCTGAACGATGCACATGATCTGTCTAGGCTAGTCACTGACTCTGTTAATGAGCACAGTTATACGTAGTTACTAGGGACTGTGCAAAGGGAAACAGGCGATCTATGTGAAATACTTAGCTTAGAGCCTGGAGAATTTTAGGCACCAACTAAGAATAGAAATTATTTAAAAATATTGTTACTTGTTTTCTATAGTACATGTGGATTTGTCAAAGAGAGAGACAGAGAGAGAGCTAGGGAGAATGAGACAGTCCCCCCACCCAGGAGGGGAGAGGGTAATGGCCACACTGTAATTCCTCCATCTCCATATCCCTTCTCAGATTTGGGGCATATTTTTTCTTTTCTTCTTTTTTTTTTTTCCTTTTAGAATTACTTTATTTAATTTATTTATTTATTTTCTTATTTTTTTAATTTGACCAGAGAGGGACAGAGTGAGAAAGGGAGAGAGAAAGTGAGAAAACAAGCCACCAGGTCTGGGACTTGAACCATGGTCAGCCATGTGGGAGTCCAGCACCCTTAACTTCTCCTCTTGGGACCTTGGGCATGCATGCATACATGCCCAGCGTGAATTTAAGCCACCAGATCCAGGACTCAAACCGCAGTCGACTACATGGGAGTTCAGCAACATAGCCATTACTCTAACTGCTAATACCTTGAGCATGTATTTTCAAGCCACTCGTCCTGAGACTTGAACAGGATAGTCATCCATGTGTGATCCAGCTGCCTTAACCACCGCATTACCAAGAGAATAATTTTATAAATACTAAAATTAAGTTACAGAAGAGGAACCTTACTGCCCAAGGTTATATGGTATTGGAACTTGAACCCAAGTCTTTGCGATGTCAAAATGGCTCATATCTTAAGACAGTTATAATTTCCATATGACTCAAATAAAAAGCATTATATACCTATAAACTATCTGAAACTCCTTTATTTGTATAAAGCAGTTTCAAATATTCCTATTCTTAAGTCTATCCAACAACTCTACAAATGTCAGTGCTTGACGAAGTTAGCACCCCAGGGTCTCGTCTGCGCTGGTAGAATCTATCGAAGAAGCCAGACCCTATCAGTCTGGGAAGATCAGTCTGCCAAGACTAAATACCTCCAGACCTCCAGTCCAATTAATGGTATTTCCCCACTGAGTGTTAATATCAGTCACTTCATGTGTTCCTTCCTATTTCGAATTAGCTCCATGTCAGAGGAAATCCTTTGCATTATTTCAGTGAAGGCTCGTGGAGTTTCTCATTATCAGGAAAGGAAGTGTGTGAAGCCCGAGTTGAGAGCAGTGTTGAAATATTGCTTGCCTTGGAAGCGAAGACCTTAAAGATGGAGTTCGCCTACTTCTTATCATCATCATCATCACCACCATCAGAAAAATAACAGTAACCGAGACAGCCATAAAAGTGTGTAGTGTTCAAAGTGTTTAGAAATCTGTTTTTTCATGGGGTCATAATAACCAATTTGCATAGAATGCTTGCATAAGGGAAAGACTAAGGCTCAGAGACTTTAAGTAACTTGTCTGAGGTCACCTAGTGAGAGATGTGTTTACATCTCAGAGATGTGATTGGGCTTTTTCTAATTTACTATTTTCTTTCTCTCCAGCATGTTGCTTTCTTCTTTGAATGTCCATCTCACCAGACCCTAAAATGCTGAGAATTCATAGCCATGAGGAGAGGTCTTCAGAAGACATCATTGTACATACTCAAGAGGAAACGTAGTATAAAAAAAATGGTTGTGATTTCCATGAAACATTTGGTGGAAAAATGTAATTAAAGTATCAATTTATTTTGGTGCAAAAAAAAATTAAATCCACGTATTTTTTTTCCTGTAACATGAATCTTCTTTGAAGACTCTTTATGTGTGTGTATATGTATATTTACATATGTGTATTTATATCTATATTTATTCATTTGTATGTATTTAAGATTCAGAGATAAGTAGAAAATACATTTATTATCAGAATTAATATACAAAATTATGATGGCCTAACAGACCCATGATCTGCCATCTGTAATCTATGGAACGAGAAACCTAGTAGTAAAATTTAGTCTGGTCCAAAAGCTTGTGTGTGTGTGCATGGGTGTGGGTGTACATGTGTGCATGTGTGTGTATGTGTGTGGTGGGTTGCGGGGGGGGATGCCATAAGTCTTTCTCAGAGACTATAGGTTCAAGAACTAGGAGCACCAATGTTGAGAGTAGAAGAAGATAGATGTCTCAGCTCAGAGAAAGCAAATTCACCCATGGTACTCCTTTTTTGTTCTATTCAGACCGGGAATGGATTGAATTACACCCATGTGGATTGGTGACGGTGATATTATTTACTTAGTTTACTGGTTCAAAGTCTAATCTCTTCTAGAAACATCTTCACAGACATATCCAAAGCATTGTTTTACCAGCTATCTGGACATCAAGTTGACACATAAAATTAGCCCCCACAACAGCCCACATGTGTCTTTAATATTTAGCTGTTTATTTGAAGCCATGTGGTCAGGTGTATGCCATATTGTCAGAGACTCGTCAGTCATTGTCTTCTGTTGGCCTCTTGGAATACCCTCCTCCTACTGTCAACACTGCTAGTTACACTTACTTTGCAGTCTAAGGAATGCTTTTCCAGAGTATACTATGTGGAAATGTTCTATCCTTCATGATGTATTTTTCCTAATAGTTACTTAGGATAATTGACTAGGAAAAGCATCTTTCAACCCTTCTGTTTGCTGTTAAATCCTTTTCTAAAGGCAAGAATGTAGAATGGATATCTATAAAAGATTGTCATATGAAAAGATAATAAATGCTAGGAGGGGGTGCCTGTATGGGGTTAGATGATAAGGGGAGGTTAATGATGTTACTCAGTATTCCCAAAGTGAATTTAAGTTTAATTTTTGTAAGAGAGATTTTTTTGTGATAGGGCATGTGTACTTACCAGAAAGAGAGAAACAGAGAAACAGAGAGTAAGAAATCACTCCCCAGGAAGAATGACCATGCTGCAATCTCTTCTCCATTCTCCTCTCAGGATCTTGGGCCCAAATGCACAGGTCCCCATCATGAGTTTAAGCCACTGGGTCTGGGACTCAAACTGTAGTCAACTATGTGAGTGTCCAGCGATGTAACCATGACACCATCTGCTGGTCCCCAAAGTTTAATTTTGTTTTTAATTGACAAGTTTTAATTATATATATATTTATGAGGTACAATGTGATATTTTGATAAGCATTACTGTGTGGAATGATTAAATTGAGCTAATTGACACCGTAGTGTCATTCACAATAGTAAAGATATGGAAGGATTCTACCTATCATCAGATAAACAGATAAATAAAATGTAAGAGATACACACACACACACACACGCACACACACACACACACACACTCGATGTATTATTCAGCCTTAAAAATTAAGCAACTTCTGGGCCTTCGGGTGTCATGGTGGACCCCACATGGCTGACTTCACGGTTCAGACTTGGCAATTTGAAAAACATGCTAGATACATGTGGTCCCAAAATTCTATGAGGAGAATGGAAAAGGGATTGTGACAGGGGGTGATTTCTCACTTTCCTTCTCTCTATGTGTCTTTATCTCCCTCCAGTGAGCACATACACCCTATGACAAAAATCTAAAAAAGAAAAAGCAAAAGCAAAAAATTAAGGGGCTTCTTTCATTTGGGACAGTAAGTATGAACATGGAAGACATTAGACTCGCAGGCACAGAAAGACATAGTACATGGCCTCAGATGTGGAACCTCCAAGAGTTAAACTCACAGAAGTAGAGAGACGAATGGTGGTTACCAGACGCTTGGGATATGGGATGGTAGGCAGGGAAAGA